TTTTGTGGAGCGGGTCCGGTGTCACCCCATGTGGTCGGTGTCACCCGGTGCGGACTGCACCCCCCGCACCTGCCTCGGGACGCCACTGGTGGGGACACTCTAATGCAGGAGATGTATTATTGGCCAGATCACCAGGGGAAAAAGCCTGAAAAAACAAAAAGAAATCTAATGCAGCCACCACATTTAAATGACTGGTAAGCTGCAATATTTCCTTTTTGTTTTGGGTTTAATACCTCAATGCAACATGTAAGTGTTGTGTATGTGGGCTCTATGAATCTCAGAAATGCTACCCTGTTGAAAGTAGACAGCGGGAACAAAAACTGGCAATACACCAACGAGTCATGGACATCTGACAAAACTTGGTTCATCCTTCAGCTTGTCTGGTTATACTTATGGACAGCAGAGGCAAGCCATGTTATGACTTCATACAGCAGAATAATACAATCACTGTTGGGTTTGTATATTCATCTAAGATTTATATAGAACTATCAGCTCCTAAATACAATTGGTGAGTCTGTATGACTACCTTAGGAAAATTACACTACAAGCTTCTCCAGCAGCAAAAACATATGCAACCAGTCTGATTTTCTCCATAAAACCCTGTGACTACGTCTACATTTTCTACACAAAATGGATTTTACCCTACTCTGGTCATTTGGTATACCAGTGAGAGTCAGTTATTATTTTTTTTTTTTTTTTTTTATTCTTGGAGCTTACTGGCAGACTAATTAAAAATGGCAAACAGTCTGCATATGTAGAGTATTACAAAGATTTTTTTGTGCGTCGTCGCTGGCTTATCTGCTACGCACACATGAAAAGATTTACAGTGTACAAGGGGAATGTACCCGAGTCTTTTCCCTTCTAAACCTCTAGGGAGAACGTGAAATCTAGAAATAAAATAGAACTTCAAGTGGTTGGTTTCTAAATTAAGCCTCAGCTGTGTCTAAAAATAGTTCTTCAGCCCAGAGAAGCTACCCCAGCCTGAATTTAAATTGCCTGTTTTTCCCCTCATGCACAGTACTCAGTCATCGTTCTGCAGCAAATCTTGCTGAATTTGAGATAATAGATGTCTGACCAGTCTGCATTTCTCTTAGGGAAAAACGTTGTTTTCTTCTGGTATGTTCTGCTATTATTTACTTGAATTATCCACCAAGGAAACATTTGAATGATCAAAATGATTTGCGCCTTAAATGATCATGGATTGCTGGTGACAGTATATCTCCAAAAATTAAATCTGAACTCCAAACAAATATTAAACATAACAGTCAATCTAGTTATATATTAATTAAGCACAATGTTTACATATAACAAGCATTCATATCTGAAGCTTTCATGAGATCAGCTTCCTGTATTCCCCTGCACAAAAAGGAGAGGCAGCACCCTGAACTCTATTGCTTTGCCCAGTGACTGTCAACCTCAGGGCTCTTTTACAGTGGTAGCAGCCCTTGCCACCCCTCTGAAAAGCAATCCATAGTGGATCACTTTTCAGATGGTGGTTGACAGACAGATATGTCAACTCACAACCTCTTAACCCTGGAAAGTTGACATCACAGAGCATGCTGTTGCAGGCCAGTTGCGTCAAGGCCCCATTCACTTGAATGTGTCGTATTTGGTGGCAGTACTGCCTGCCAAATGCAACAGGGTTTATAATTTAAGGCAGTATATATACAACCCACCTGAAAGTGCTGTGTTGGGTTCGGAGGGGTGGTTAGAGAGCAGTAAAAGCGAGGCTCAGATGCCAATTTTTACCAGTCTTGTGAACAAGTCCCAACATCGAACATGATTACAGTAGGGATGACCTCATCAGTGTTCTGCTGCTCCTTTGTTTTCCAATCACAGGCATAAGGATCCTCAGACTTGTAAAATCAGAATGGCTTTTCACAGAGGGGCATAATGGAAGCAGGGAACAAGGAGATAATAAGGACAATAAACAATCAGATTTGGTTGGCATAGGTTTTAAAGGACATATTTTGCCTAAGCCCCTGTTACTGGAGGGCCAATAGGGCCTACCTTTTGACAGTGAATAGGCTTTTTTGGTGGTATGCAGGGTTTTTGACATTATGGGGCTACTTAATAGCAGACAGAAGATGACAGTATCTACTCTTTCTGGGGCACCACACTGTTTATTTCACACTGCATCTGAATTTCACAGACCCAAAATAGGTGTAGGTCCATTGAAAATGTGTGTTGGTAATCCATCAAAAATTAATTACCATTGTCAGGAACTGAATCTGACCTTTTCCCTGAATTTCAGGAGGCACGGCAGCCCATTCAAATGGGACTGCAACCTGGTACTGACATTCAGCAAAAGCCATCTCTATCGTCAGGAGCTCTGGTGAATATCAGTTAGTATTTAGACCCCACACTGTGGGTGAACCCATGACATCCACCAGGGTGACCTGCTTGTATACCTGTCCTGCTGGTCAGTGGGAGCCTCTCTACTCCTATAGCTACTGACCTCTGATCCTGACCCCTGACTGTGACAAACATACTGCAGGGAGATTAGTAAATAGTCTGTATGGATTTGTACATATTCCTATAGACATTTTATGAACACATTGCCCCAACTGGATACAAGTACTGAAGGTGGGGAATGTGGTTATGGGAAACAGTGGTTTAAAGCATGATTACAATGCAAGGGTTATAGATAGACAATAATGCAATCCATGTGGTGGACAATTTATTAGCTAATGAATTTCCAGCAGAATGCAATAGGAATAAACAAAAAAAAAACCCAAACAATTTGGTGTATGTGGGCACATTTAATGACGCATTCTTAAACAGCCAAGCTAAAAAAAGGCAGCAACCTAAAAGTTAGCAGCAGAGGCTAGCAAATCCAATATTCCTCTTGACAGATGAAACAGGTCACCACCCAGGGCAAATATAGTGACTTAGCATCCCATAAGATAGCCCATTATACAGTGGATATAAAAAGTCTACACACCCCTGTTAAAATGTCCGGTTTCTGTGATGTAAAAAAAATGAGACAAAGATAAATCATTTCAGAACTTTACTGTAACCCTTTAAACTGTACAACTCAGTTGAACAACAAACTGAAATATTTTAGGTGAAGGGAAGTAAAAATAAAAAAAACTAAAATAATATGGTTGCATAAGTGTGCACACCCTTAAACTAGAACTTTGCTAAAGCACCTTTTGATTTTATTACAGCACTCAATCTTTTTGGGTATGAGTCTATCAGCATGGCACATCTTGACTTAGCAATATTTGCACACTCTTCCTTGCAAAAACACTCCTAATCTGTCAGATTGTGAGGGCATCTCCCGTGCAGAGCCCTCTTCAGATCACCCCACAGATTTTCGATCAGATTCATGTCTGGGCTCTGGCTGGGCCATTCCAAAACTTGAATCTTCTTCTGATGAAGCCATTCCTTTGTTGATTTGGATGTATGCTTTGGGTCATTTTCATGCTGAAAGATGAAGTTCCTCTTCATGTTCAACTTTCTTGTACAATCATTTTTATTGGTTTTTCACTTTTTTCGTGTTTGAAGAAATAACAAAGTACAGCCATTTAGAAAAGAAGGACCCTCGCAGGGGACCAATTGTCAAGTATATAGTACAATCAACAACATATAAACAGATTAGCATTCAACAAGAACATGCCCTAATTAGAGCCAGATGAACCTGAGTAAAATACTCAGCTGAGGTAAATCGCGGTAGAGAGCTGTGAGAAGGCAAAGAGGAAGGGGGGATAACATTTCAGAGGAGCAAGGAAAAAAGAAGTACAGTTAGGAAAAGAAAGAGAGAAAATATCAAAAAGATAGAAACAGTATTAAAGTGGAGCTCCACCCAAAAGAGGAAGTTCCACTTTAAGGACTGCTCCCCCGCTTCCCATTAAGGATTGGCTCCTTTGGGGGGTGGGGGGGAGCGGGTGCCCGAATTTAACAGGTACCCGCTCCCACTTCCGGTCCGATCGCCTAGGCGATCCTAAAAGGAAGGTGTCCTCCCTCCCTGTAGTCTTTTGGGACATGTGACAGGTCCCAAAGACTGCAGGACCAGTCACAAGGCACATGCGCAGTGGGTACCCGGCTGTGAAGCCGCAAGCTATCACAGCCGGGTGCCCACACTGAAGATGCCGGCCTCCTAGAATACAGGACGGCCGGTGAAACGGACTGCGTGGGACACACCGCGGGACCGAGGGACAGATTAGTGGCTGTTTTTTAAAAGACAGCAGCTACAGTTTTTGTAGCTGCTGACTTTGTAGCTGCTGACTTTTATTTTTTGTCAGGGTGAGTGGAACTCAGCTTTAACAACTTGCCTACCTGGCACTTATACCCCCTTCTTTACAGGCCAATTTTCAGCTTTCAGCGCTGTCGCACTTTGACAATTTTGCGGTCATGCAGGATTGTACCCATATGAAATTTTTATCATTTTTTTCTCACAAATAGAGCTTTCTTTTGGTGTTATTTAATCGACTCTGGGCACTTTACTTTTTGCGCTATAAACAAAAAAATGTACAAAAAATTTGAAAAAAAAAAAAAAGTTTCTTTATTTCTATTATAAAATTTTTCAAACAGGTAATTTTTCTCCTTCACTGATGTGCGTTGATGAGGCAGTACTGATGGGCACTAATAGGCGGCACTGATGGGCACTGATAGGCGGCACTGATTGGCAGCACTAATGAGGTGGCACGGATAGGCGGCACTGATTAGGCAGCACTAATGAGGTGTCACAGATAGGCGGCTCTGATAGGTGGCACTGATAGACAGCACTGAAAGGTGGCACTGACTGGCATCACTGCTGGGCACTGACTGGCGGCACTGCTAGGCATTGACTGGCGCACCCGCTGGGCACTGACTGGCAGCACTGCTGGGCTGCATTGATGGGCACAGGTGGATGGCGCCGGTGGGCACAGGTGGGTGGCACTGCTGGGCACAGGTAGGTGGCACTGCTGGGTGGCACAGGTGGGTGCACTGCTGGGCACCGATCATTAGGGCACTGATCATCAGTCCCTGATGATCGGTGCCGATCCCTGCTCTGACAACTGCCGGTTCTCGGCAGTACTTTCCTCACGCTCTGACAGCGTGAGGAAAGTGCAGCCGAACCGGCAATTGCATTTCCCGGTGATCAGCGTGTCATTGGACACAGCTGATCATGTGGTAAAAGGCCGCTGTGATTGATACATCACAGCGGCCTTATACCACATCACGTGGTATAAGGCCGCTGTGATAGGACACAGCGATCACGGAGATCGCTGGGTGCACGCCCCCAGGGGAGCGCAGGAGAGCGCGTTCTGGGAGGACGTCATATGACGCCCTCCCAGAACTGGCCGGCCGCAGTGCAGCCGTCATTCGGCTATCTGTGGTTGGCAAGCAGTTAAGAGAACCTGAGTGCAGGGACCCCCCCTTAAAATTGGTACAAACCCAAGCTGTATTTGGGAAGTGAAGGGTGAGCGTAAGACCACCAAGGGCTCCAAATTTTCAGGAACCGAGGATGAGAATCATTAAGGATACTCGACATTTTTTCATGAATCATGTGGGTGGTCATAATATTCCTCATCTCCGCAATCTGAACAGTTGGTTTCTTCCAGGCCCTATCATGTTCAGCTTTCTAGCAGAAGCCTGAAGGTTTTGTGCCAATATTGACTGGTATTTGAGACTGTTCATAATTCCCTCTACCTTGACTAACACCCCAGTTCCAGCTGAAGAAAAACAGCCCCAAAGCATGATGCTGCCACCACCATGCTTCACTGTGGGTATGGTGTTCTTTTGGTGATGTGCAGTGTTGTTTTTGTGCCAAACGGATCTTTTGGTATTATGGCTAAAAAGTTCAACCTTGGTTTCATCAGACCATAGCACATTTTCCCACATGTTTTTGTAAAATTTAGCCAGGCTTGGATGTGTTTCTTCACAAAAAAGGCTTCTGTCTTGGCACTCTACCCCACAGCCCAGACATGAAGAATACGGGAGACTGTTGTCACATGGGGCAGCACAGTGGCTAAATGGTTACCATTTCTGCCTGGCAGTACTAGTCATTGTTTCAAATCCAAACCACGGCACCACCTGCCTGGAGTTTGCATGTTCTCCCTGTGCCTGTGTGGGTTTCCTCCGGGTACTCCGGTTTCCTCCCACACTCCAAAGACATGCTGGTAGGTTAATTGGATCCAGTCTAAATTGGCCCTAGTATGTGTATGATGAATGTAAGCTAGGGACCTTAGATTGTACGCTCCTTGAGGGTTAGGGACTGATTTGAATGCAAATACATGTACCACACAGCCAGTACTTGCCAGGTATTTCCTGCGGCTCCTTTAATGTTGCTGTAGGCCTCTTGGCAGCCTCCCAGATCAGTTTTCTTCTCGTCTTTTCATTAATTTTGGAGGGACGTCCAGTTCTTGGTAATGTCACTGTTGTGCCATATTTTCTTCACTTAATGACGACTGTCTTCACTGTGTTCCATGGTATATCTAATGCCTTGGAAATTCTTTTGTACCCTTCTCCTGACTGATTGCTTTCAACAATGGAGATCTCTCTGATGCTTTGCTCTGTGAACCATTGCTTTTGCTGTAGGATGTGACTAAGAAAATGTCAGGAAAGACCTACTAGAACAGCTCTAGCTGAATTTTATTTGGGGTTACTCAGAGGCACTTGGCCTGTGATGGCAGGTGTGTACTGACTCCTATTTAACATGATTTGGAATGTGATTGCTTAATTTGAACAGCTACATCCCCGGTTATAAGAGGGTGTGCACACTTATGCAACCACATTATTTTAGTTTTTTACGTTTGCTTCCCCCATATAAAAGATTTCAGTTTGTTTTTCAATTGCATTGTACAGTTTACTGGGCACATTAAAAGGTGGAAAAAGTTCTGAAATTTTTTATCTTTGTCTAATTTTTTACATCACAGAAATCTGACATTTTAACAGGGGTGTATAGACTTTTTATATCCACTGTACATACGCGGCACAGTATTATAGGACAGCATTGTGTCTGGCAATCCGTGAATATTTCTCATACATCAAATCTGATCTCTAAAAGTGCTGAGCACTGCAGTACAAATATTATGGATTACTCCTGTGCCCACAATGGGCATATCTATTTGCACACATTTACAGCACAAAACCTAATCATTATAAAATGGAAAATTAAATACATTTATCTTCTTTACTAACAGCTAAGGTTTTACTTTACCAGGTATCTTAAAGTGTCTGCATATATCTTGACTTACTTTCAAAGTCAACATTCCCTCACATCTCACAATTTGAGGCGTGCATCTCCCTTAGACAGATGTGTGTTTTGATATTCAGCTACATAGGACACTATGTCTGCCCTTTCCACCCAACATTCTCCATTTCTTAAATGCTGTACTATAGCTTCTATGCATGAAAAATGATTTATGAATGGAGAATACCAATCTTTCATTCATCCACCCATCCTCCATTCATATAGTACATATAGAAACTATAGTACAACTACTATGGATGAAGGAGGTAGGCAGAATGGGTGGCAAAGCTGACACTTTTGATGAGAGCATATAACTGGTCTCTCACTTTTATGAGCCCCCACCACACCAGAAGATAATGGCTGTGGGGTAGGGGTATATTGGGGAATGGAACATTTCAAGTACTTCTGCAGGCATCAGCACAAGGGACACATCACACAAAGTAATATACCTCATGATGATTCTTTATAAAAAAGGTTTTCTTTTTTTTTTTTTTTACTAAACCCAGCCTTTAAAACTAAAGGAAATGAATCAGAATGCTTAAAGTTTGCAAATTAAATTAATGATCAGGACAATAAATGGTACAACTTTAAATGACTTATACACACTAGCATAGTATTATAAAAAAAAACTGTACTTTGCACATGCTGGGCAACGCAATAAGTTCTCTGTATGCCTACATCTCTAGCAACACAAACTGTAACCTCCTATCCTTCACTCTCCTGTCAACTCAAGAAGCCATAGCAAAAAAAAAAAAAAACATTTCTAGACATAGGAGGAGCATGAACTTCACACCCTTTTCACAAATTAATAGGTTCACTTTAATGTGCCCCCCCCCCCCCCCCCCCCAGCAACACTTTCTGACCTTTTCTTCACTCCCCTGTTGCCCCATTCAGCAGCCAGGAGTTAGCAAACAAGGTCTGTGTAAGCTTTAAACGGACTTCTCGAACCATACAGGGCAAATGCACTGCATACTAGCACGTTATGACAGACTTGCCTATAAAATGGATCCCTCCAGCAGCGCGTTGTCACCATCTTCACCCAGTCTTGCTTCCAGGTTTGTGGGCTCCAGCCATTTGAATGGTTGAGCCGCAATGATGTTGCAGCACAAGCACTTAATGGACAGCGCACCTGATTGTGCCATCCATTCAGAGTTCAGTGCGCATGCATTGGTGACATCACTGGCTGCTTCACATCTGAATATCTTCTAAATGGTTCAAGTTTAGGAGATATTCACTGTACCTATAGGTAAGCCTTACAGTGGGGAAAATAATTATTTGATCCCCTGCAGATTTTGTAAGTTTGCCCACTTACGAAGAAATTAAGGGTCTATAATTTTTATCATAGGTGTATTTTAAATGATAGAGACAGAATATCAACCAAAATCCAGAAAAAAATCCACATGATTCAAATGTTATAAATTGGGTTGCAGTTCAGTGAGTAAAATAAATATTTGATCCCCTACCAACCAATAATAATTCTGGCTCCCACAGATTGGCTATGTGCTCATGAGGTACACAGATTAGTCCGGTAAATTTAAGAAGGTGCTCCCAATGACAACTTGTTATGTGTACAAAAGACACCTTTCAACAGAATCTCTTTCTTCCATTCAAACCTCACCATCATGGACAGAGAGCTGTCAAAGGATGTTAAGGACAAGACTGTAGACCTGCACAAAGCTGGAATGGACTACAAAACTATCAGTAAGAAGTTTGGTGAGAAGGAGACAAATGTTGAGCGATTAGTCGCAAATGGAAGGAAATACAAAAATAAACCATTAATTGCCCTTGGTCTGGAGCTTCCTGCAAGATTTCGCCTCATGGGGTAAGGATGATCATGAGAAAACTGAGGGATCAGCCCAGAACCACATGGGAGGAGCTTGTGAATGATCTCAAGGCAGTTGGGACCCAACCAAAACACCATTGGTAGCACAATACGCCACCATGGATTGAAATCAAGAAGGCACATGTACAAGCCTGTCTGCAGTGCTGTGGTCAGATGACACCAAAATTGAGCTCTTTGGCATTAAGTTGACTCACCGTGTTCGTAGGAAGAAAAATGCTGACTATGACCCTAAGAACACCATCTCTAGAGTCCTATGCATGAAGGTGGAAACATTTTGCTTTGAGGCCGTTTCTCTGCTAAAAGAACAGGCCGATTTTGCTGCGCATTGCGGGGCCAATGGACCGGGCCATGTATTGTAAAATCATGGATGAGAATCTTCTTCCTTCAGCCAGAGCACTGAAAATGGGTCGTGGATGGGTCTTCCAGCATGACAATGACCCAAAACATACCACCAAGGCAACAAAGGAGTGGGTCAAGAAAAAGCAGATTAAGGTCATGGATTGGAGTAACCAGTCTCCAGACCTTAATCCTATAGAAAATTTATGGAGGGAGCTGAAACTTCAAGTTGCCAAGACAGCCAAGAAACCTTAAGGATGTAGAGAAGATGATCTGTAAAAAAAAAAGTGGACCAAAATCCCTCCTGAGATGTGTGCAAACCTGGCAACCAACTACAAGAAATGTCTTACCTCTATGCTTGCCAATAAGGGTTTCTCCACCAAGTACTAAGTCATGTTTTGCTTGGGGATCAAATACTTATTTTACTTACTGAACTGCAACTCAATTTATAACATTTGTATCATGTGTTTTTTCTGGATTTTTGTTTGATATTCTTTCTGTATCATTTAAAATACACCTATGAAAAAAATTATAGACCTTCATTTCTTTGTAAGTGGGCAAATTTACAAAATCTGCAGGGGATCAAATAATTTTCCCCCACTGTGTATTGTCTTACCTGTAGATACAAATTAAAAAGCAGAGTTTACTTCCACTTTAGGTTGTGTGTGGTGTATTTTTCGCCACTTCTGGCATTAAATATTTTTTGTATTGTAACTCTGTAACTTTACATTTATCGTAGCTTAAAATACAACATCAAAT